GGAGGAGGAATGCGGGAAGGGCAGCTGACTGCTCGGTGATGGCTCTAGTTGGCCCCCCATGCTGAACACTGAGCCGCTGAATACAGACCTGCTCATTAAACTCCAAAGAGAACAATGAAGAAAGCTAGCTCTTCAGAGAGAGACGGAGGGGGGAGGTGGGGGGGCTGCTGTGCTTTTATTAACTCTCCAAGTACCCTATTTGTAATTCTAAGGCTGACATCTCTTAGCAAGAAACAACAAAGGTTGTTATTTTCTAACTTAAAACAAAGGGGTGGGGGGAGCTTTTACTCACAGTCATGCTCACATTCATAAGAACAAGTCTGGCCCACTTCAAGTAAAAGGAAAATATTTATTGAGCTCCTACTATGCACCAAATTCTATGTAAGGAGTTTTACGTCTGTCATGTTGGTCATGTCTGACAAACAACTAAGAACTAGGGCTAAGGAACATGAGTAGAAACCAGAAAACAAAGATGGGTTGAAGACAGATGTCTTTTTTTGGTTACCTGCTAGGACAAAAGTGCACTAGAATGAAGAACAGAGGTATGAAATGAAACTGATGTGCAAAGACACAGCTGCAAAGCCTGTTCTTGAAGGCCAACGAACTACGGGAGTAAGGAGGTGGCTTCACACAAAATGCATTCATTTCATAAACGGCCTCTGCACACTCCCCAATTCTGCTCTTTTTATGGTATTTTCTTTTCTATCGTGGATAAATGTAAAATTACTATGCAGTCAAATCTATCAACCTTTCCCCTTACCGTTTCTCTTTTAGTTCCTGTGCATAAAAGACTTCGCCCCATAATCAGGTAACAAATCACTGAATTCCTACAAGTATAAGCCTTCAGAAGTTGCAACGTTAAAAGAAGAGATGGATACATACGAAGATAAACCCTAAGTAAGATAATGAATAACAAAAATTCAAATGACCGGATCAAACTTATGCTAGAGAAGTTCAAAGGAGAAACTGAACACAGGCCCAAGTAGTCCGATTTGTATGTGCATTGGGGAGAGTGAGGTGGGTAATGGAGAAAGACACCAAGATAGAGGCTTAAAGCATCAGTAATGACTTTTAGAGAAGAGTTTAGGAAAGCAAAGAGGTAAGTATGGGAAGGATGCAAGAGGCCGGAAGGTAAAAGGCTTTGAAGGTGAAAGTAAGATACGTCATCATATTTTATAAGTTTTGTATTTTACACCAATTTAACAAGTGTTGACTCTTTTCGGAATGGTGCTTAGAGAGGAGACAGATCAAGGATACGATCAAAGAAGAAATCTATACAAACCATTCTAAACTAAGGCTACGATACGTGCGAGAGCCATGCACCTGACACCCACTGGTACACAACTCACCCAACGAAGACCAACCTATATGGAAGGAATATGAGTCACATGCTTACCTCCTTCTGCTTCTTAATGATGACAGAAAATTCTGTGTATGGGATCCGTGGATTTAGCTCACATCCCATTAAAGTGGCCCCTTCATAATCCTTGATGTAGCCAACATATTTGGTTTTAGGTATTTTAATTTCTTTGGAGAAACCCTGCAATGAGATTAAATTCATTCATACGGGTGTTGTGCATCAGGTACTTACTGAGGGCAAACCACGTGGTAGGCCTCAAGATATGCTTCTTTCAAGTTCTCATCACATTATTCGGGGAAGGATTAGCGAGAAACCCCTCCACGAAGTTCAAAAACATCACAAATCAAACTGTGCAAGCAGGAAGCAAGATGACATAAACCCATAATCCTCGTAAAACACGAATTATACAAAACAGTTTTCACAGAAATTAAAATAAGCTTTAAATGCATAATTTCTCCCAACATGGGGAAGGAACCGCAGGATTCTCAACAAATCAAACACCGATCTAAATTCTGAAAGAAAATCTTATCCAAAAGTATATTAATTAGGGGTACCTGGCTGGCTCAGTCAGTACAGCACGTGACTCTACATCTTGGGGTAGTGGGTTCAAACTACACGTTGGGTATAGAGATTACTTAAAAATAAAATCTTTAAATATATATACAAATTCGTTTAAGTTTACTTAGAGAGAGAGAGAGAGCATGCTCAAGTATGCATGAGTGGAGGAGGGCAAAGGGAGAGGGAGG